AAATTTAAGATACAAATGCGCTTGTTGCGAGGCTTGTTGTGTGCCGTTTGAAAATATCTGAACGGTTATGTACTCCGTATAGTAAGATGCCGTGCGCAGTTTAGTGAAAGTGAGAGTGAAAATCTAATGGAAAGCTACACCAAAACGCCTCGGTTAGGATGTTCTGCATTATCAGTCTGCAACTTGTCGTAGGACAGCGAGGTATGAAAATGCAGTTTTCATCATCTAAAACATACAGATATATTTCACATAGGCATAAAGTGCAACGCTACCCATAGAAACAGTGCCAGAGACATTGGAACCAATTTTCCCACAGAAATACAAGTAGTACGTCCCGTGCGCATGATTACCAATAAAATATACTTCTGGTACTTAACATCACACATATACCACGGTGACTCAAATATGTTTCGGTGAAGTTCTTCACTCTATAAAGATTATACAAAGTTAAATGTATTGTATTCCACCACTGTTTTCATTTAGCTTCATTATATGTATCCACTTCTTTATTTCTGATTTAATTACCTTATTTATTAGTATTTGTCCGGCCAAGGTAAATATAAGCAGTTCGGTAAGCGCGCATGCTTCGTATTGAACCAAGATGAGCGTTAATCCTAATTGTTTGCTCTAAAAATTGTCGTTGTCACATTCCAGTGTCAAAAGTTGTTAAAACACTCACATGAAGGATTGCAAATGGCACGAAAACATGGTAAAACATGGATACGCACATTTTCATGAAGAGGAGTGGCAAGAAATAGCCATCCATGACCTTACAAAATTCCAGGATTTCTTGATGGTGTTTAATGTATTTAGTCAGAAGGTGTAATACTCTTACTTTAAAATCCTCGGAACGTATTATTGTCATAATGCGATCTTTGTTGATACGCTCTTCGGTATCCTCTGACCATCTGTAACAAAAAATTCAATTTACCCCCGACATGCATTTTTTGCCTCAAATTCAGTTTGTAGAAGTAGAAATATCAGAGCCCCGAATTAGTGATACCTTACAAATGTTAATTTTCAAAAGGTATAAAGAGTACAAATCCTTTTGCAGAAAATTGCTGTATTTAAGAAATCACTATCTACTATTAATCAAATTTATTACTTAAAAGGTATTAAATCGTTATTAAATCACCTGTCCCAGTATAACAACCTATCAAGCAACCTCTTTATCATCTCAATAATAGAAGATAGTATTGCACTTCGGGTACTCTCAAAAGTAAGACTAAAGTAGTCATTTTAGTCGCTACGGAAAGTTCGAAGTTGAAACTGCTTAAAAATGGTAAAAACTTGTTTTTTAAACACTAAAGGTACACTTTCATGAAAAAAATTCTTAGGATATGGATTTCTATTTTACTATGAATTTACTTAACTTTACGTTACTCCACCTGAATTTTATTTACATAATCCGTTGATCAACCAATTCGATTTTATTATCTATTTTTGGACAAGCGTTTAATTGTTTTTTCTACGATCGATATCCAATGTAGACATTTGCGCTCGTATTTGACAACGAAAACGTCACCTTTTTCGAGGAATGTCACTTTGTCGCTTATTTTAATAATCCAAAATATAAAAAATATCGTTCCCATAGAAAAATTCCCATAAATTCACAAAAACCTGAAACAATACAACAACTACTTTAATTATTATAATTGTTTTAAATTTTCGCCTGAATATAGCTTTGGAGTAACAGTTTGTGTTTTATTTCTTTCAGGTTACGAGTATTTAGTACACCCGATATTTTATCAATTGTATCATAGAAGAGCCTTTTTTGATGCCGGCTTTTGGAAATCAGATCAGTTCTCCAATAAAAACAGATACACGAGTTAAGCATCAGTTGTGCAAAAATTCGAGTTATAAAAATGAGACTGGCCTAAAAAACCACATGTCTCGCTGTCTTTGCCTAAATGAGAAATCGATCCAAATTCTGGATTCCAAGAAAGAATATGCAAATTTAAATCTAATGCGGTTATCTTGAAACGTCTGTGGCACAGAAATTAACATGTCATTTTTATTTATTTCAATAAATAAATTAATTAAATCAAGTATTTTTCCCAATAGTTTTTAAGCATGGAAAGACCTTAGTATATCAGTGTTTCACAAATTTTTCCAAAATCGGCTAACAAAGATAGTGAAATTTATGCCCTTTGTGATTAGACAAACACGGGTCAATAACTCCCGCACTGAGCTCACAATGTTTTAGGTAAGTAACGATATTGTCAATACAAGATTCACTACCTCTAAAAATTCTGGTTGCTTCAGATATTATCGGAATACAATCAAACGAAGCAAAAAGTGCTAACATATCAGATAGATTACGACTTCTATCATTAAAGTTTACATTAAAATCGCACAGAATAAAAATATCGCTACTGCTACAGACAATAATACATTTTCTAAGCGTTCCAAAAACACTTTAAAGTTACCGAGACCAGAGCGATAAACAGCGATCAATTAGTTTGATGGCTCAAAATTCGTAATCTTGTTCCATGCTGTATTTCTCTAAATTAGGTGACAGTTTTATATTTTATATGATGTTTCACAAATATAGCTACTCCACCGTGAACCAGTACACTTCTACAAAAGTAGTTTGCCAGCTTAAGTTCACCGAGATTTATTAATTTTATTGACGCGTCCGTTAGCCAATGTTAGAGTCGACATATCCCGCGGACAAAATTTTTTTTTTTTTTATTAACAGTAAATTTACAATCTACTCTACAGGGAGTATTAAGTAATTGTGTCGACTTATATGAGCGTTGTAGGGAGGAACCACTCATTAGCAGTACTCCTATAGTCGTCCTTTCAGATTAGGGTGCTTGCAGGTCATGAGGCCAGATCCTATTTAATCTTCTAAAAGGTGGATGGGCAGCGGACAGTTGATGTACGAGATCATTGTTGTGGCCCTGGAGTCTGACGTGGTAATTTTGGGCGTGCCTTTGAATTTCGTTAGTGACGAATGAAATGCCCAGATCCTGGTGTAGGGTTTCGTTTGAGACATACCATGGTGCGTTCACCATAGCGCGGAGGGTTTTGGACTGGAACTGTTGTATTGTCTTAATCCTAGTGGGTTTGGCACATCCCCAGAGTTGCACTCCATATGTCCAAATTGGTTTCCACATTGTTTTGTAGAGTAGTAGCTTGTTGGACAAGGACAGTTTGGACTGTCGTCCAAACAGCCAATACATTTGGCGAAATTTCAGATTTAGTTGTTTACGTTTAGTTTGGATGTGCTTTTTCCACGTTAATCGTTGGTCTAGGTGAAGGCCAAGGCATTTGGTTTAGGTCTTGACAGGTATTGGAACGTCATTTAAGGTAACTGTTGGACACACGTTGAACCGCGTAGTAAACGTCACTTGTACGGATTTAGTTTGGTTAATTTTTATGCGCCATTTACAGAGCCATTCATTTATAAGGTTTAGGTGGGTTTGGAGGTTTTCAGATGCCAGTATTGCGTTATCGTGCGTAGAAAGAATTGCCGTATCGTCAGCGAAAGTAGCGATGACAGTGCTTGCAGCTTCGGGTATGTCAGCAGTCTAAATTAGGTAAAGTAGGGGACCAAGGACACTGCCTTGTGGGACATCAGATTTTATAGGATGGTAGTTGGAGTGTTCGTTGTTATACTTTACTGAGAAGAATCTGTCAGAAAGGTAAGATTTAATGAGAAGGTAATAATAGCTTGGAAGGGACCTTTTTAATTTATGTAGTAAGCCAGTGTGCCAGACTTTATCAAACGCCTGGGCAACGTCCAGGAACACGGCTGTACAGTATCTCTTTTCCTCAAGGCTCCTTGATATTTCGTTTACTATTCGGTGTACTTGTTGTGTTGTTGAGTGGCCTTCTCGAAATTCGAATTGGTGCAGGGGCAGTTGAGATAATATATATTCGTATTGTTCATTATCCTTTTAAAGAGAAGTTTCTCAAAAATTTTTCCTAGCAATGGTAGAAGACTAATCGGTCTGTATGATGTAACGTTTTCTGGCGCTTTCCCGGGTTTGGGAATCATTATTATTTGCGCATATTTCCATAAGATGGGGTAGTAGGACATACTTAACATGCGGTTGTATATAGTTGCCAATAACACGATAGCCTTTACTGGGAGCATTTTCAGAACTTGTCCTGTTATTAGCTCATAACCTGGTGCTTTATGGTTATTTAACTTTTTCATTTCGGACCGAATCTCTGCTGGCGAAATAGGTTTGATAGTTAGGGACATTTGGCAGGGAATGTCCAGATATTCCTCAATAGCTTCGTCAGCTATGTTTGATTCCAAGGGTTGGAATACCTTAGATAGGTGCCCAGCAAAGGTGTTAGATAATTCCTTGTTAGATCTTGCCCAGTCTCCATTAGTTTTTCTCATGGGTGGTATGCCGACTTGTGGTCTCTTGAATCCTTTGGTTGCCCTCCAGATGGTATGATCTTCTTGTTTAAGATTTTTGAGATAGTAATTAAATTTGGCATTTTGACAATCCAGTAAGACTGTACGGAGACGTCGAGTCAGCCTGTTGTAGCTTAATTTGTCAGTAGCATTTCGAGATCTTTGCCATTTCGCCCTAGCTCGTCTTTTCTCAGCAATTAGTTCCTTTATATAGAAAGGGACGTTTTTTGTCTGATGATCAGGTTCTGTTACTTTAGTCGTAGCTTCCCATGCCGCTTCTTGAATAAGAGTAACCAGGTATTGAACTGATCGATCTAAGTCTACTTGTTGTTTTATACGATGTTTGAGATCGATTTTTTCCTCAATATATTGTGAGCGTTTAAAATTTATACAGACGGTGTCTATCTAGTATAATACGAGTATTATCTTTGATTGAGCAAAAGAGCATACCTTTTTGTCAAGTTCGAAATCGCGCAAAGCATAGTTGAGAATATTTGTATGGTTGCGGGGATTAGATTAACGTATGGGTCTCACAGAGACTTTTTCATTACGAGATCGTAAACCCTCAAATCGGGTTTCACGGGAAAAAGTTTGAAACAGAGCATCCGTATAGATTAAGTTCTTACCTTGCACCATGCATCAACATTTCTCTGAATTGTAATACTTTCTCCTTATTTACACCGTGCTGTAGCAAAGCGTCATATAGGCAATTGCATATGTCGGCACCTACACACAACATTTAGTACCTATAGGTAAGTAGTGAGAATTTAATCATACCGAACACCAACAATTGTTGGCTAGTCATTAACACCGTGGCTATGAATAGAGTATCCGAAGCTGAAGATATTTGTCCCACGATCATTTGCCCCATAGCTTGAAGTGTGTATATTCCAATATAATGAAGCGTATTGTTTTTAGTATCTACTCCAGGGTATATTCCAGGTAATGGTAACAATCTGGAAAATTAACACGAAATAAGTTTAGTTTCTTTAAAATTTCATTTCTACTATCATCACGGTACGTTCCGTCTCTAAGGCACTGGTGGAAATTGTGCAGGTGCGGCCGTACAATGCAAAAATTCCACCGGTTTCGTTCCCAAGAAATTTAATAATGTATGGAAGTATAAATTCTACCCAAGGTATGTTTTATGAATTTGTCCATTATTAGACGCTGATCTTATGGATAAGGTAAACTATGACGTTTGATTGCCAACGAAAGATTTAGTATTTTCTATGGCGATCGATTTCGAGTTTTGATCCCATCATCGGGTCCTAGCGTCAATTATAACATTTGACAATAAAAGATAAACAACATTTTGGTCTAAGTTAAAATGGTTGTTAATGGTATAGCCAATTTTATCACGTGGAATCTGTGAAGAATGCAATTTATACTGATAATAAGAGGATATGTTCACAGTGTATCATTTTCTTATCCAAAGTTTAACATTTAGTACACCACTACAGTAGTCTTTAAATCTCTCGTCACTGATATCATTATTACTGCAATTTTAAGTTCTTTTTTCTCTTTTTAATTTATTGTATAATGCAATTGGAATTAATATTAACTTGGTTTTTAAGTGATGGTAACCTCAACACAACAATAATTGTTTAATGAGGTACCTATCTGCGATTTATCTGCTCCTATTTACTCGTTTTGGTTTATTATTTACTGGAACATATACAAATTGTTATTTTTTGTCTATTTTTGTGTATATACAATGGTGAACGTGGAGATAAGTACCTATCAATCTATTTTTTTAATAAAGTTGAAACCCTACACTCACACCACGTTTCAAGTTTATTAAAAAATTCTTCACGAATTCTGCGTGAGAAAATTGTCATATAACCCATTTTAACTGAGACCAACATGTAAAATATCTTTTATTTTCTAATTTTATAATTGACGCTAGGCCCGATAGGAACCAAACTCGAAATCGATCGCGATAAAAAATATAAAATCTTTAGTTCGCCATCAAACGTCATAGTTTACTTTATCCGTCTACCAAAGGTACTTCTGATCATTTCTGTATGCACGTAAAAATCCCCATATTTACCTTCCCTTCATTAAAATCGGAATAGCAGTCACGCTCATCACACCAGACGTAACCAATAACAAAAACGCTTGTGTGATATTTTTCGTACGTTGATTTTCCTTCCTCATGCCAATTTCAACGATGTCGCTGTTTGTCCTGTATTTAAATGCTCTGTTCAGATGCTCTAATAAATTTCTCCCATTTCGTCCATATCGTATGAAAAAGTGTATTGTTAAAATAGTGCAGATATAAATACCTAAAAATTTGGGTGGAGTTACTTACTAGTTTCTATGTTTTTATACACTTATAGTTGAAGTATTTTAGAATACATTACCCGCATTCATAATAGTAAGTGAATAGTCTATTATCTTTAAATTGTCGGCTAAGTAGAGTTCGTAGAGAAATGGTAACAATATCATGTAGAGTATACAGAGGTAGGCATATTTGCCAAAATTACTGAATAATCTAATCCATGTACTACTAGTATTCGGCGGAATTAATGAACATAACACTGCGTACTGTAGGTTAAATTCTAGCAGTTTCTGCTCGCCCATTATTAGACGACAAATTGTAAAGAAGTCTACCTTCAAGCAGCGCTACCTCGCTTCTGAAAGGTGCACACCGTAGTTTTCGTTAATATATATTTCAACATGATACCTTGACCGTATAATTACTCTTCTACTTCCCTACTTAAACACCAAAGAAAAATTACCTAATAGAAACGTAATTCTGGTAAAGTTTTGTTATTAACTTTCAGATACACGTCAGCTACGATAAACGCGATCAATATCTTCGAAAAATTTAATTGCTGGTTCCAATCCTTACTTCTTCCAACTTCTACAAGCGAGTTCAGTTTGATGGAATTAGAAATGGAGTGGGCAAACCTCTTGTCCCTTATGAATTATTTCTGATTTTTAGCCTCGAAATTCACTTTAGTGGTATTGTATCTTTATATCGGGTGTTTTTTTAAGCATGATAGAACTTTCCATCGCGATGGCTGTGAAATCAGGTGTCAGTTTGCTCATTATTAGTGACATTTAAATTTAGTATAGTGTGACAAATCATCATGAATAGACTCACTTTTGAACAACGCTATCAAATTATTCAAATTTACTTTGAAAGTCAGTCATCGATTCGCAAAGCGTATAGACGCCTCCGTGAATTTTACGGCATACATAATCGCCCATCTGAACTATAGCCATTCTTCGGACTGTGGAAAGATTGCGTACCACCATTTCTCTAATGGATGCAGTAATACCAATGTCGAAGAAATGTGCGCACTGAAGAGAATATTGCCGCTGTAAATGAAAGTGTGCGAGAAAATCCAAAACTGTCTCAGTAGGTAGGGCTTTGTCCGTCCACTACATGGAAAATTTTTCACAAAGATCTTGGGCTACATCCATATAAGATACAGTTGCTGCAGGAGTTAAAGCCACAAGACCATCGATTGCGGCGTTCTGGGCTTTAGAGCAGTTGCAAGTTGATTTCAAGAAATGGACCTGTCAAGTGGCCACTCAGATTCTGCGATTTGACGCCTCTTGATTATTTCCTATGTGGCTACGTAAAGTCATTGGTTTTTGCCAAAAAACCAGCAACCCTGCACGCCTTGGAAGCCAACACTGTTCGTATGATTAATAACATAATGGCACCAATGCTCGAAAAAGTGACCTGAAATTGGACTGACAGAATTCGCTTCGTCAGAGACAGCCGCGGTGGCCATATGCCTCAAAAAATTTTTAACATTAATGTCATATTTTGATCTTTCCAATAAACATAGATTTTTTATCAAAAGCTGTTTTTTGTATTGTTTATTCAAGTTTAAAATTCTATCGGGCTTAAAAAAACACCCTTTATTATATCTTCTAATTTTGTCTTTCTTAGACAGGATATTGTCAATATTTGCGTTGTGTATATAGGTCAGTTTTTGCGAATGTTGAGAATGGAGGTATCTGACACTAGCGGACAAGTTGACGTCCGTGAAGTTGGCACCGCCCATTGTTCACATTAATATTATTTGTATGCACATCGTTTGTTTATCGTTTGTTTACGTTTGTTTAACTATTTTCATCGTTTGTTTACATTTCCGTAATGTCTTTTTTTTTCCCCCACCAAAACCATACAATCAGGGGTCCCGCAGGGGAGTATCCTAGGCCCAATCCTTTTCAATATCTTCATGCGGGACTTCCCTACTATCAATGCAGACCTTGCAATGTACGCAGACGACACAGTCATAATAACCAAAGATGAATGCTTGGAAATGGCCATCTCCAAACTGCAAGACGCCAGCACTATTCTCAGTAGATGGTTCAAGAAATGGAACCTATCCATTAATTATGATAAATGCGTTACAAAAATATTCACACTACGACGTATTAATAACCCACCAAACATCAACATTAACGGTCACATCATTCAATGGAACGCCAATGAGGAGCCCGTTAAATACTTAGGTATATACCTTGACAGTAAACTCACGTGGAAACACCATATACTCAAAAAACTAAACGAAGGACACACGAGACTAATCCAGCTGTATCCACTTCTAAACCGAAAGTCCGCCTTACTTCCTCAATGCACTATTATCCTGTACAAAGCACTGATACGTCCATTAATCCTCTATGGGTGTGTGGTATGGGGAAACACAGCCAAAACAAATCTTCAAAGACTTCAGATACTCCAGAACAAGATCCTCAGAATTGCATTCAACGCCCCCTGGTTCATCACAAACCAACAACTGCATTACGAACTAGGCATCGATACAGTTGAGCAGCATATAGCGAAACTTACTAAAAAATTTCACGCCAACCTCAACAACTGCAGTGGTGCGGCCCACTACACACTGGGACGACGAGGTATCCATGTACGACTCAAGCGTAAACTACCCCAAGATATATTCCTTAGCGACGACAGCGACCAGTGACCAGTTCCAACAAATCCAGTGCTCACAAGTGAACGTAGCGTAACATTTAAACATTCTTGCGGTCATACATACCGCTCATGTTAGTTATATACTAAACACATCCTTGTTAACAATGCCTTGTATAACAGTGTGAGTAAATTGTTGAGCAGGCAAAAGCCTAAATTAAAAAAAAAAAAAAACTCCAAATGATCGAACTAACTTCACGGTGGCTGGCCCAAGATCATACTGCTGCTAAGTTTGCAGGTCATTTGTTTATCGTCTTTGGGCGCGTAAACTTTACTGTCATCATTTATTTTTCATCGCGATATGCATCTTTTAAAAAAATGTTAATTGGACAAATTAACTTTACGGTGGTGCGGCTAAAATAATCATTATATTCGCTTATGAACCACTCTACAATTGTAGCAGTATTATTAAATGTGGAAAAAATAGCCTTATTATCTGTTTTGTATATTTTTTTATTTTAAAAAATTGGAAATCAAAATACCATTATTCTCATCGTCAAATTGTTCATTTTGATTTTTTAAATTATCGTTGCAAATAATAATGTGTTTAATATGTTTTTCAATATTTACTCATTCTTTGGAGTTGCCCTCGGAAATAATCTGCAGTACCCTCGATACACATGGTTACTTGTTTCAGGACTCAGTATACGCTATAAAATGGCCTGTTTCTGGACTTATCTTCCGACTCATAATAGTTCACTTTTGGTACGAATGAAACATCGTTCTAGTCAACTGCGTAAAAGATTGGCTAAAATACGAATAGAATAATTACTCACAACTAGCCTTAAATTGGACATTTGGCAGTATGACGCCAATTTTGCAGAATACCACCCCACTTAGGACAAATGATCCAATTTGTTAGGAAGATTTGACGTCATTGTCAAATTCCAAATTTTATCACTTGAAAATAAAGCGCGCTTTACAAGGGACCAGTTCTACCACAATAGTTCAACTTCAGTTCAGTTGACTGACCTAATAAATAAATTTCATTCGTCACAATTCAAACACTGCCCAATTCTCAACCAGAGCTGGGTACTACTCGCGAGCTTGAAAAAGCGTCCCAAGCGGAAAAAGCGCTTGCTCGCGATCACCTTTCGGAGCGGCCGCTTGGTGCTCGATACTCGAGTATTTACTTAAAGTGCTCGGCGCCGAGCGCCCCCCTAATATAAGGATTGCTCGATCACTGAATTTTTTCGCCGCGTGTAGTGATGTCACTGGCGGACCCAGACGCACCGCATGCTATATTACAAGTCTCTTCTGTACAATTTCTGTTATAATTTTGGAGTTTACCACACCGTGCTACAATGGTTTTTACCACACAATATGAAGTGTTTAGCCTAATACGGCTTCGCGTTCCTTCAAAGGTCGAACTACAACCCCCACATATCAGTAACAACAATCTTAAGGCTTCTCTGTAGTCAATCCGCCATATTGGAAAAATAGCTAAACTTTCTTATCAAATGCTGCTTTTGTAGTTGCAGTCTAACAAATTCTCGATAGTGGATATTCTTTGCAATGATGAAAAGAACGGCGGTACTTAAAGAAAGTTGAAATATCGGTCTTAGTTTTTTAGGAAGATCGATGAATAGAAAAATCGTTTTTCGTAAATAACAGCCGTTGTAATGGAAGTAGAAAAACCTACAGCACCAATTTGGAAATCCGACAGAATTTCCTACGGCGGTACTTAAAGATATTCTTTCCACCTATTATGATAATGCATATATTTAAAAAAATATGTATCGCGATCTTTAGAAAAAAATCAAAACGCTAACGTAAGGATAGGCAACTCATATTGCACTATAACTCCTGAGGCGACAACTCATTACCTACTTGAAAGGGAAAACAAAAGAAACTACCTGGTATTATCCTGCACATTGTTACGCCGTTCCTAATGATATGGATTAGATAAATTACTATATAATTAGCTAATGTTCATGAATGCTGTTGATTTGTGAATCATAATGTCACATATTCCCAAGACGAAAAGTGTACTAAATGCATATTTATTGTAGGTACATTGGAAATAATTTTTGATTTCTAAAACCTTTTTCATTCTATCAGGATGCTTCAAGAAATTTGTTTAGGAAGGTATCAAATAGTAGCCCAATTTTTAGCTAAACCCCTAGGCGGAATACGATTGTACCAGTAATTAGAAACATTTTTGCCGCAAATTTGTTCTTGTGTAGAAATGTGGCACCGTTTTGATTTTTTGG